GTCCTACGTAGGAGATACTAAGTCCTACGTAGGGGATATTAAGTCCTACGTAGGAGATATTAAGTCCTACGTTGGAAATAGGAAGTCCTACGTAGAAAATACTAAGTCCTACGTAGGAGATACTAAGTCCTACGTAGGAGATACTAAGTCCTACGTAGCAGATACCCACTTAGGAGATACTAACTCCTACGTAAGAGATACTAAGTCGTACGTAGGAGATACTAAGTCGTACGTAGGAGATACTATGTCCTACGTAGAAGATACTAAGTCCTACGTAGGAGATATTAAGTACTACGTAGGAGATACTTTCTCCTAAGTGGGTATCTCCTACGTAGGACATAGTAACTCCTACGTAGGAGATACTAACTCCTACGTAAGAGATACTAAGTCCTACGTAGGATATACTAAGTCCTACATAGGAGATACTACATACTTAGGAGATACTAAGTCCTACGTACGAGATATTAAGTCCTACGTAGAGGATACTAAGTCTTACGTAGGAGATACTAAGTCCCACGTAGGAGATACCCACTGAGGAGATACTAACTCCTACGTAAGAGATACTATGTCCTACGTAGAAGATACTAAGTCCTACGTAGGAGATAGAATCTTCTACGTAGTACTTAATATCTCCTACGTAGGACTTAGTATCTTGTACGTAGTACTTAATAAGTCCTACGTAGGAGATACCCACTTAGGAGATACTGAGTCCTAGGTAGGAAATATTAAGTCCTACATAGGAGATACTAAGTCCTACGTAGGAGATACTAAGTCTTAGGTAGGAGATATTAAGTCCTACATAGGAGATACTAACTCCTACGTAAGAGATACTAAGTCCTACGTAGGATATACTAAGTCCTACGTAGGAGATATTAAGTACTACGTAGGAGATACTATGTCCTACGTAGGAGATACCCACTTAGGAGATAGTAACTCCTACGTAGGAGATATTAACTCCTTCGTAGAAGATACTAAGTCGTACGTAGGATATATTAAGTCCTACGTAGGAAATATTAACTCCATGTAGGAGATATTAAGTCCTACGTAGGAGATATTAAGTCCTACGTAGGAGATACTAAGTCCTACGTAGGAGATTCCCACTTAGGAGATACTAACTCCTACGTTGGAGATACTAAGTCCTACGTAGGATATATTAACTCCTACGTAGGAGATATCAAGTCCTACGTAGGAGATACTAATTGTCTCCTCTAGAATTCCCCACAATAGTCCCATTTTCACTGCTGAGGCCAAGGCTATCTTCGTAGATGACCCCCGCACTTGAAACTGTCCGTCGTTAAGAAAACCCTGAGACATTTAAGACGTCTGGAAATAGTTCCATGGGATCAGGTCTAAGTTTTTCAGAGCATAGGGTTTGGAATAATGGCCTTAGTAAACTTCGACCTTGTTAAAGGCGGGTCATAAGAGACACGGATAGGAGTGATAATTGTTGGGAAGTGCTCACTTCCACAAAGATTCGAATCTGTAAATGATAGATGAAGAGCTGAATATGTTCGAATGGAAGGATGGAGATAAGTGTTTGATCCATCTTTGAAAAGGCGTAGATCATTATCTGAGAGAAAGTCTTTAATGACCTTTCCCTTGTTGTTTGTAAATGAACTCCGCCAAAGGTGGTTATGGCCGTTTAAGTCTCCCATGATTATGCAGGGTGTCGGGAGTTGATCATCCAAGATCTGAAGATCTGATAGACGTACAGTTGAGGAAGGAGGAAGATAGAATGAACAGAGTGTAAACCCTAGGTTCAAAGTCGTGCGGACAGCAACATATTGTAGGATTGACTGCTATTTCGGTGGAAGCTGGTCAGAGGAGGAAATATATTTTTAATTAAAACGTAACCTGTTTGAGAAATAGTTTTGGGAACACCTGGTGTTATCACAGATTTTCAGTGATCCATTCATATTATTTTCGCAGATATTTTTCCTTTCACGCCAAATGGAATTGTTTCTGAGGATAGTCAGCACTGGGCATTCTTCCGCACTGATGTTCTCTATTTACAGCTAAAAAGAGCTATATGAACAGAAACATGTGGTAGATGTTAACCATTGCAATAAACATACTGTAAAATATGAAAGAGAAACAAACCTGTGACACCGAACAAAGTAGCTGCCAAAACACACACCACTGCATTAGCCATCGCACGATGAAATGAACAACTTCACTGTGTTTCCGAGGTATTATCAACTCTCCAGCGTTACTAAGGCGAACCTGAACGCAACATCAAACATTAACGAGTGTGAACCACTACAATACAATACTATAATACAACACAACTCATATCCGCTATGCTCCTGTTATCTGAGAAGCTAATTGCAAGTACATATATTACTGTTTATTGATTTGTATGTAGAGTGTTTTTAGAAGCTTCGCCAGAAGGTGAGAGCTGCCGACAATGCTGTGTGAGTGTGAGAGTTAACATCATACATCGACACTTTTTCAGCCATATGTCAACGAGATCAAGGGTGCCATTGTGTTATAAGTGATTTTGCCCAACATGGCTGGGCAACCAACAGAAGACGATGTCATATTGTCCAGAAGCAAGATCATTTTGTGACTCAAGGATTTCAATCATTGCAGATGTTTATTTAACATATTTCAAGAGAAACTGAAGAGCATATGTACTGTTTATATGTAGTCTGTTTACTGATATATTTAAGAGAAGATAAACGGGTGTTTACTTCAGCTGAATAGATGGAGCTGTTGTTTGGCAATCTCGAAGGCAGAGCCATAATCTTATGCCAGAAGGCGGTGTCTCATGTGCCAATTTGTTGATGTTGACCTGTAAATTTAACATGAGTCCTATTTCCTAGTCACTGGCAGACCTAACCTGACATATTATTGTTTACACAAATGTTGCCGTTTGTGTCAAAGGAATATACCAACCGTATCCCAAGTGTTTGCATGAACAATATCAAATGTAAAATAAGGCATTTTTGTCACTCCATGGCGGGTTGGGAGCAGCGTTGCTGAACGCATTTCCTTTCCAGGGCTCATAATCACATTGGTTCAACACGTAGACATCTGGAATCAAGTTCATCTGATGGGGCTACTACACATTTTGATTCCTCTAATCTGTAAGACAAGAGTTTCTGGTTGTTGATTAAAATAATACCCTCAAGTAGATATCAGTACCATGTTTCCTGATTATTACTACAAAGTCAAATGTGCCATAAAAACAATCAGGTTGGTGAATGAATCTTCAGTAGCCCATGCTTGTCGTAACAGGTGACTAACGGGATCGGTTGGTCAGGCTCGCTGGCTTGCTTGACACATGCGGTTCCCAGTTGCGCAGATCGATGTTCATGCTGTTGATCCCTGGATTGTCTGGTCCAGACTCGTTTATTTACAGACTGCCGCCATATAGATGGCATATTGCTGAGTCCGGAGTAAAACTAAACTTCACTCACTCACTCATCGCGGTTTTGCTTTTTGGTTTGATTTTTTTTGGCATCTATTTGAGAAAATCCATTAAACGGAAATTCAAATGTAACACGAGGGCAAACGAAAACATGATACAATTGGAAGAAACTAGTTATTCTGGCTTCCCTAAACCTGGAAATAACCATGGTGATAATGACGTCATTTTTGTGAAAACAAAACAAACACAATTGCAATTTATTCTTCGCGTAAATGTTCTTTGTAATAACAAACATATTGACTTTATAAATTATTCTTGTTTTGCATCTTGCTAGAACTCTACTGCACCCTCCCTATCTCTTCCTGCAGCCTACTACCCCCACTATAGCATTGACAACACAGACAACAGTGACTAAGAAGAACTCAACGAGATAGTGAGTGAGTATATGTACATCAAATTTTGAAATCATCACACTTACATTGATTTTAGTTATACCTAGATAAAGAACACTGACACGTATTACTTAGTAAAGCCTTCATTTATGTCCGATACAGAACATTCTAAACTTTAGTGAGTGATTGAGTTAAAAATTAAAGTCACATCGGCAATATTTCAGCCATATCGTGACTATAACTGGTTCTATATTCATAATACATACACATAACATATAAAACCCCGTGAACGAAGGACAGTAAAGGTACTAGATTATCACAAAATGAGTTAAAAGTAGCTAGCATATATCTTTTTAAAGTAGAAAACTATTTTTGGACAATACAATGTAAAAAAGGGTTATATATGAATTCAGCAAATGAAGGTAGATCACCATACTTGGGACCATGTTTCTTAACATTAATTCTGTTCAAATATAGACGATTAACACTGACAAGGAATTTATGCAATGCAGTGAATTTCAATATGTCAGGCGGTAGGGGATGGTGTGCTGTACAAAGTCTTAGAGCTGCTTATATGTTAGGCAAGTGTTTGCTGGATGTACACAATCTTAAAATATCTGTGATATATTGGTAAGTACAGCTGTAACAGATATTCCACCCTTGTTTAAATTTAAATTCACTTAACTCAAATTTTCAAACTTAATATACAAAATCAACGTGGAATGTCAACATTCATCAATATCCCCCGCAATGGCACAATACTCTTCATGATTATGTCTAAGAGTTATGATTATGTCAAATATTTAGGTGTGTATATAGAAAAGTGGAACTAGAGTATTGATAGTTTTTTATAGTTCTGCTCCAGAAAATAGCACTATCACCAATTTCAGTCAAAGTAAAACTTGTTGCCATGGAAATGCTAAAATATTTTATTCAGAATTCCAAAACTACTAAAAGGCACCAGTACACCACCAGATATATGTATGTGCCAAGTTTGGTGAAGAAACATTGAACGGTTTTAGAGTTCTGCTCCGGAAAAGAACACTACCACTAATTTCAGTTTTAGTCAAACTTGTTGCCATGGAAACGCCAAAAATATTTTATTCAGAATTCCAAAACTACCAAAAGGCACCAGTACACCACCAGATCTATCTATGTGCCTGGTTTGGTGAAGAAATAGTGAACGGTTTTAGAGTTCTGCTCCGGAACAGACAAAAGTGCACGGACGCACGGACGCACGGACGCACGCACGGACGGAGTCCATTTTAATACCTCCCGCAAAACTCGTTACGGGGGATAAAAACACAATGTGAAACTGAATACATATCTACTACAGGCGTATTGCTTAGCTGTGGCAGATTGTGGGAACGGAAAGTTTCAAAAACCTTCACGAACTTCACTGCCAGAGTATAAAAGAGAAAGAGGGGCGGGGTGCGTAAGACAACGATTATATATACTTAATTAACTCTTTCACAATCCCATACAAATTCTTCGCTCTCCCGTCCCATGGTCAACCATCTCTCCGGACCGAAATGTCAAAAAGCACATTTTACGCGCGCATCAAAATGTTGCATCGAAACACTCCGTCGTGTGAATTCTCGAAGTGGCCAAATGTAACTGGAACATCGCTGGGCTATGGTAGAAGATGACAATTGAAAGTTTCAAAAGACTTCACAAACTTCAGTGCCAGAGTATTACTGGAAGAGGGAAAGAGGGACGGGGTGCATCCGACAGCGATCATATATTTGTTGTCATTTCTCTGGCTGGTTGCAATATGTACACACTTCGTGAGTGGTAGGAGCAAAGCTTCTGGTGTCCTGCGGTGTCTCCCAGTGTGTCGTGTCAGTTTCAACCAATGATATGGCTTGGAGTTACAATTTAACGTCGCACTGCCATTGTTTCAGCCATATTGCGACGAGACCAAGTTTACACAAATCTATAATTACACAAAGTTACACATTTTAACATCTCAATATAATGAATTCTACCATGACCACGTGAAATTCCCGAATTTGATTGGCCTATTAATAAAAATTGACACTATCAATTTCGATTGAAAATGTGTCTGATTTTATCACCGCTAATGTAATACAATAGGCTACACTACTTCCGCTTGACCACCAACATGGCGGATGCCAATACAACAGACGCGATGGATTTCGGATTTGTTTTCAATCGGCAGTTTTACCGGACCTGGACGAGTTCAGCGATGATGAGTTTGATCCTGTCCTGACCAACCTAAACAGTTCAGGTGAATTGAGCCCAGAAACTTTAGCATCTTACAGGCAGATCTTGCAAAAGTTAGACATTTTCTTTTAAACGTTAAGTACATATTACTTCAGTCCAGTCCCAAAGTTGAGTTGAGTTGAGTTTGGCTTTACGTCACATCGGCATTATTCCAGCCATATAGTGACGAGAACAAGTTTGCATTAGTAAACATTGTAATTACATACTCGGAATGAGTTTTATTACGAAGACATATATTGATTTCATTGTCATTTAAAAGCAGAGAAAGTCATAGCATCAAATTTAAAGGCAGGCAATTTGTTAGTCACATTTCATAGTTACAATTTATGGTTGTTACATTTCGCAGTTACAATTTATGGTACAGATCAACTTCCCTCAGGTAGTTCACTTTGAGATAAGCGCTCACGCAGGAGAACAGATCTTTTAGGTTTGTTGCATCATAATGTGAGTCCCTTGCAGACGATAAGTCCACGCATTCAAGCAGAATATGCTTGATGGTGAGAACCTCATCGCAAGAGACACACATGGGGGGGTCCATCCCCATCCGTTTTCAGCAGATAGTCATGTGTAAATCGACTGTTGCCAATACGACATCGTCGTAAAATTACCTCATCACGTCTTGACTGATAACCCAAGTAGGTATAACCAATTGTTGGCTTCAATTCATGGAGTTTGTTTCTTCCTACTTGAGTGTCCCACCTTCTTTGCATCAGGTCCCGAGTATAGCTTTTGATAGTGGGTTTGAAATCACTGTACAGTCCCAAAGAAACACCTGACACATGTGGTCTCACCTTACGCAAGCGAGTTTGTTCAAAATTGCCTCTGTTCACCCAGCAGAAAAATGGGTACCCGGTGGGATGTGACTTTTACCTTCTAGTGCATAACAGGCAGCTTGGGTTATCGGGGCTAATAATGTTTGTGCGCGCTTCGAGCATGCCCCTTTGTGGTGTGGAGTATTGGGTGCTTCGAGCATGCCCCTTTGTGGTGTGGAGTATTGGGCGCTTCGAGCATGCCCCTTTGTGGTGTTGAGTATTGGGCGCTTCAAGCATGCCCCTTTGTGGTGTGGAGTATTGAGCGCTTCGAGCATGCCCCTTTGTGGTGTGGAGTATTGCACGCCGAGCATGCCCCTTGTGGTGTGGAGTATTGGGCGCTTCGGCATGCCCCTTGTGGTGTGGAGTATTGGGCTTCGAGCATGCTCCTTTGTGGTGTGGAGTATTGGGCCCGACCATGCCCCTTGTGGTGTGTGGTGTATTGGGCCGACCATGCCCCTTGTGTGGAAGTATTGGGCACTTCGAGCATGCCCCTTGTGGTGTGGAGTATTGGGCTCCGAGCATGCCCCTTTGTGGTGTGGTGTATTGGCGCTTCGACCATGCCCCTTTGTGGTGTTGAGTATTGGGCACTTCGGAGCATGCCCCTTGTGGTGTGGAGTATTGGGCCATCGAGCATGCCCCTTGTGGTGTGGAGTATTGGGCGGTCGAGCATGCCCCTTTGTGGTGTGGAGTATTGGGCCGAGCATGCCCCTTTGGTGTGGAGTATTGGCGTTTGAGCATGCCCCTTTGTGGTGTGGAGAATTGGGCGCTTCGAGCATGCCCCTTTGTGGTGTGGAGTATTGGGCGCTTCGAGCATGCCCCTTTGTGGTGTGGAGTATTGGGCGCTTCGAGCATGCCCCTTTGTGGTGTGGAGTATTGGGCGCGTCGAGCATGCCCCTTTGTGGTGTTGAGTATTGGGCAGTATAAGTACCCTCATTATTCTATGTTTTAAGTAGCTTAATGCTGAAACCCGTGTCTTCATTAAAGTTTCGGTCCAGTGAATTATTTTGTGGGCTAGTAACTTCCAGGCGTAGTTAGCCCGTCTGGCTGGCAAAATTTGGGAACTATTTCTCACACTGGATAGCAGTTTGATATGTTTATTTAGTAACCCACCCAGATATGTTAGTTATCTGATAACAGACCATGAACCTGATGAAATCTAGACTTGCTGTATGTTCGGCTTAAGCATTGCAGTAAGGGTTGAATTGGGAAGTGAAAATAATGTGGTTCAGGCGACTGACACAGACTGCACTCAATCAACTAAATAAAAAACCAACATGTATATGTCGGAATTGTAGGTCTGACATATATTTGATACTTGAAATATTTTATTTCACCTTACCTAAATTATAAGTTCCAAGGTCATTAGAATTTACAAAACCTGGGTACACACAGACGGGTTGCTGGAGTACCGACTGAGTGAGTTAAGATTTCTAGTCACATCAGCAGTATTTCAGCCATATATTGACCAAAACAAGGTATACATGGCAGAGTAAGGGGACATGCGTGAATATACTTTTCATTTCTGAGACTGGTTGTCTTAAAATACACACACAGACTATTCATATTTACCAACGTTTTTCAATCACTCACTGATTTTATTCATATCTAAATTTACAACATTCTTAGTCACGATATGGCTGAAATACTGCCGATGGGACATTAAAGTTTAACTCACTCACTAACTTGAAATACAGACTTCCCGAGTATAAAGAGCTGAACTTCTGCCGTCCTGACGCGAGTCCCGTGTGGCGTGTCAGTTTCAACCACGTGAAGTCCGTGCACTACAGTTCCACCGACACACAGTAGACGAGCAGCCTATTGTGAAGCGGCCCTTAGCCAGGTTATAAAACTTGGACAGACAGTACCTGAACCTGTGTGGCTGTGATGCCGATGTGGCTTTGATATGTTGATGAACAATTCGGCGATTGTATTGCGGGGGTGTTTAATGCCATCACAGCTTTGGTGTACACGGAAATTTCCATCTTTCTGTTGCCACGTCGTGGGAACCGTCAGTTTCAGATCACAACAACTTTGTTCAATAGTTTTCAAATAAACACTAATTTATTTATTGTAGAAAAAAACAAACATGCGTTACGTAGCTAAAACTTCAGTGAGTAAGTGTCGGTAAATACAAGTTGATGACATTTTTCAGGAAATAACACTTTGTGCGATAACCCCCTTAAAAAGTGAGTGAGTGAGTAAATAATGAACGTCGCGTCGGTTTTATTTCAGCCCTTTTGGGACAAAAGTTTGAGGACGTTGTGCAGCTGTAGTATCATGTTATGGTATTTATTGGTGAGTGAGTTAAAATCATTACATCACACTGGCAATATTTCAGCCATAAAGCTAGGAGAACAAGTTAGATTTTACTTAAAACCTGTCAACAAACGGCATGAAAACAAAACGATATATATCATAGTTTTAATCTCGAATCAAACCAAGTCAATATGAAAAAGAAAATTTTAGTTCAAATAAAACTAATCTTTTGACCAGTAGCAACAAAAAACAACAACACCGCCTTAATAGGGATTGCCTGAAATATTGCCGAGGTGATGTTAAATTGTAACTCACTCACTCAAACGGGGCGGTGGGGTAGCCTAGTGGTTCAAGCTTTCGCTCGTCTCGCCGAAGACCGGGGTTCGATTCCCCACACGGGTACAATGTGTGAAGACCATTTCTGGTGTCCCCCGCCGAGATATTGCTGGAATATTGCTAAAAGCGGCGTAAAGCCATACCCACTCACTCACTTAAACTATCATGCAGTCTCCCAAGTTAGTGAGGTAAAGTTTAACGTCACCTTGGCAATATTCCATATAGTGACGAGAAAGGTTTTAATCAATATACACTATAATCCCTCACTGTTAAATATACAGTAGTTCACTGTAATATGTTCACAGTGCTCCGCCGTAATATCTAAATACCGTAAAGTACCGTCATTATGACGTTGGTACCGTAAACAGATGTAATATGGGATCATTTGATGAAAGCCGCCATTGTTTGAGGTTCGGGACAGGCTGACTAGCAATCTGACTACCACATCTGAACTGATTAATCACAGTTTCCTGGTATGGATACGAGTATCACAGGCGTAGTATGTTAGTTTCTGCTGTATTTATTATTAGGGAATATACGTTGTTCGTCTAGAGTTTTCACAGTTGTGTACAAGGGTTATGTTTGGTTGCAGATGTTCTAGTTTTGAAACGTCCACACTTAGGCACTATGTTGACCATTACCAGCTCCACCTAAAACGTTCCAA